AGAAAGACAGAAGGAGATCCCAAGATTGTTTTATCTCCTTAAAAAAGACATTATTAACTTTAAAATGATTTCACATTCGTAAAAAATGACTATAGTTGCTTCCAACATTATTTCACCTTCCTAAAAAAAGTACTAGAGGCTCTAGATACTGTTTCGCATTAATTTTAAAAAGACCCTAGAGACTGCCAAGATTGTTCCATGTTAAAAAAAGACACGAGAGGCTCCCAAGATTGTTTCACATTCTTTTGAAAAAGACTCTAGGGACTTCCAACATTGTTTCGCGTTTCTAAAAAAGTCGCTAGAGGCTCCATAGATTCGTTCACATTAATGAAAAAAATAATCTAAAGAATCCCAAGATTGTTTCACATTCTATTGAAAAAGATTCTAGAGGTTTCCAACGTTGTTTCACCTTTCTAAAAAAAAGACACTAGAGGCTCCAAAGATTGTTTCACATTAATTTCAAAAAGATTCTAGGGGCTTCCAAGAATGTCATTTTCTTAAAAAACAAATCAAAGACTCCCAAGATCGTTTCACATTCTATAGGGTCTTCCAACATTGTTTCACCTTTCTAAAAAAGACACTAGAAGCTCCAAAGATTGTTTCACATTAATTTCAAAAAGACTCTAGGGGCTTCCAAGAATGTCATTTTCTTAAAAAACAAATCAAAGACTCCCAAGATCGTTTCACATTCTATAGGGTCTTCCAACATTGTTTCACCTTTCTAAAAAAGACACTAGAAGCTCCAAAGACTGTTTCACATTCTTGAATAACGACAGAAGGGGCTCCCAAGATTGTTTTACCTCCTTAAAAATACATTATTACCTCTAAAATGATTTCACATTTGTTAAAAAATACTCTAGTTGCTTCCAACATTATTTCACCTTTCTAAAAAAGTACTAGAGGCTCTAAATATTGTTTCACATTAATTTTAAAAAGACCCTAGGGATTGCCAAGATTGTTCCATGTTAAAAAAGACACGAGAGGCTCTCAAGATTGTTTCATATTCTTTTGAAAAAGACGCTAGAGGCTCCATGGATTCGTTCACATTAATGAAAATATAATCTAAAGAATCCCAAGATTGTTTCACATTCTATTGAAAAAGATTCTAGAGATTTCCAACATTGATCCACCTTTCTAAAAAAGACACTAGTGGCTACAGTGATTGTTTCACATTAATTTCAAAAAGACTCTAGGGGCTGCCAAGGATGTCATTTTCTTAAAAAAAAAATCAGGAACTCCCAAGATCGTTTCACATTCTATTGAAAAAGACTCTAGGGGCTTCCAACATTGTTTCACCTTTCTCAAAAAGACACTAGAGGCTCCAAAGATTGTTTCACATTCTTGAAAAAAGACAGAACGGGCTCCCTAGATTGTTTTACCTCCTTAAAAAACGACATTATTAACTCTAAAATGATTTCACATTCGTTAAAAAAGACTCTAGTTGCTTCCAACATTATTTCACCTTTCTAAAAAAGTACTAGGGGCTCTAAAGATTGTTTCACATTAATTTTAAAAAGACCCTAGGGACTGCCAAGATTGTTCCATGTTAAATAAAGACACGAGAGGCTCCCAAGATTGTTTCACATTCTTTTGAAAAAGACTCTAGGGGCTTCTAACATTGTTTCGCCTTTATAAAAAAGACGCTAGAGGCTCCATAGATTCGTTCACATTAATGAAAAAAATAATCTAAAGAATCCCAAGATTGTTTCACATTTTATTGAAAAAGATTCTAGAGATTTCCAACATTGTTTCACCTTTCTAAAAAAAGACACTAGAGGCTCCAAAGATTGTTTCACGTTAATTTCAAAAAACTCTAGGGGCTTCCAAGGGTATAATTTTCTTAAAAAAAAATCAGGAACTCACAAGATAGTTTCACATTCTCTAGGGGCTTCCAACATTGTTTCACCTTTCTAAAAAAGACAGTAGAGGCTCCAAAGATTGTTTCACAATCTTGAAGAAAGACAGAAGGGGATCCCAAGATTGTTTTACCTCCTTAAAAAAAGACATTATTAACTTTAAAATGATTTCACATTCGTAAAAAAAGACTCTAGTTGCTTCCAACATTATTTCACCTTCCTAAAAGAGGTACTAGAGGCTCTAAATACTGTTTCACATTAATTTTAAAACGACCCTAGAGACTGCCAAGATTGTTCCATGGTAAAAAAAGACACGAGAGGCTCCCAAGATTGTTTCACATTCTTTTGAAAAAGACTCTAGGGGCTTCCAACATTGTTTCGCCTTTCTAAAAAAGACGCTAGAGGCTCCATAGATTCGTTCACATTAATGAAAAAAATAATCTAAAGAATCCCAAGATTGTTTCACATTTTATTGAAAAAGATTCTAGAGATTTCCAACATGGTTTCACCTTTCTAAAAAAAGACACCAGAGGCTCCAAAGATTGTTTCACGTTAATTTCAAAAAACTCTAGGGGCTTCCAAGGGTATAATTTTCTTAAAAAAAAATCAGGAACTCACAAGATAGTTTCACATTCTCTAGGGGCTTCCAACATTGTTTCACCTTTCTAAAAAAGACAGTAGAGGCTCCACAGATTGTTTCACAATCTTGAAGAAAGACAGAAGGGGATCCCAAGATTGTTTTACCTCCTTAAAAAAAGACATTATTAACTTTAAAATGATTTCACATTCGTAAAAAAAGACTCTAGTTGCTTCCAACATTATTTCACCTTCCTAAAAAAGGTACTAGAGGCTCTAAATACTGTTTCACATTAATTTTAAAACGACCCTAGAGACTGCCAAGATTGTTCCATGTTAAAAACAGACACGAGAGGCTCCCAAGATTGTTTCACATTCTTTTGAAAAAGACTCTAGGGGCTTCCAACATTGTTTTACGTTTCTAAAAAAGTCGCTAGAGGCTCCATAGATTCGTTCACATTAATGGAAAAAATAATCTAAAGAATCCTAAGATTGTTTCACATTCTATTGAAAAAGATTTTAGAGATTTCCAACATTGTTCCACCTTTCTAAAAAGAGACACTACGGGCGCCAAAGATTGTTTCACATTAATTTCAAAAAGACTCTAGGGGCTTCCAAGAATGTCATTTTCTCAAAGAAAAGATCAGGGACTCCCAAGATCGTTTCACATTTTCTAGGGGCTTCCAACATTGTTTCACCTTTCTAAAAAAGACACTAGAGGCTCCAAAGACTGTTTCACATTCTTGAAGAAAAACAGAAGGGGCTCCCAAGATTGTTTTACCTCCTTAAAAAAATACATTATTAACTCTAAAATGATTTCACATTCGTTAAAAATGACTCTAGTTGCTTCCAACATTATTTCACATTTCTAAAAAAAGTACTAGAGGCTCTAAAGATTGTTTCACAATAATTCTAAAAAGACCCTAGGGACTGCCAAGATTGTTCCATGTTACAAAAAGACACGAGAGGCTCCCAAGATTGTTTCACATTCTTTTGAAAAAGACTCTAGGGGCTTCCAACACTGTTTCGCCTTTCTAAAAAAGACGCTAGAAGCTCCATAGATTCGTTCAGATTAATGAAAAAAATAATCTAAAGAATCCCAAGATTGTTTCACATTCTATAAAAAAAGATTTTAGAGATTTCCAACATTGTTTGACCTTTCTAAAAAATACACTAGATGCTCCAAAGATCGTTTCACATTAATTTCAAAAAGACTCTAGAGGCTTCCATGAATGTCATTTTCTTAAAAAAAAAATCAGGGACTCTAAAGATCGTTTCACATTCTAGTGAAAAAGGCTTTAGGGGCTTCCAACATTGTTTCACCTTTCTAAAAAAGACACTAGAGTCACCATAGATTGTTTCACATTCTTGAAGAAAGACAGAAGGGGCTCCCAAAAAAGACATTATTGACTCTAAAATTATTTCACATTCGTTAAAAAAGACTCTAGTTGCTTCCAACTTTATTTCATCTTTCTAGAAAGGACACTAGGGATTCCTAAGATTGATCACATCCTTTCAAGAAGGATCAGGGCTTCCCAAGACTATTTCACATTCATTTAAAGAGACATAGGGACTCCAAAGAGTGTTTCACTTTTTTTTTTAATACTCTAGAGGTCTTCAAGATCGTTTCACCTTCTCCCAAAATTGTTTCCATGTTCTTTTAAAACAGACTCTAGGAGCTTGCAAGTTTCGCGTTCTTTAAAAAAAAACAAGGACTCAAAACACCATAACACTTCTTTAAAAACATAGTAGAGGTTTCCAAAATTGTTTCACATTCTGTAAAGAAATACACCAGGAGTCCCAAGATTCGTACCTGTCTCAAAAATGTTTATCAAGATACTGATATTCATTTAATGGTTACAAAACAACGATTAAAACCTATTTATTCATCATCTCTAGGAAGTTAATAACGTTGCAGTAATATTTATTAGAAATATACAGTTTCATTTAAACTGTTTATACAGGATGTTTGAAAAACTGACAATGAGAAAAGATGAGAAAATAACGATATTTTACTGTAACTTTACCATCTATCCAAAGTCAAAATTATGTAAACATTCCAGAAAAAAACCTGTCACATCTTAGTTCTAAAACCCGTAAAACAACGTCATCAAATTTTCGCCTGGGAGCAACAACCAATACTTCCTCAATTCGCTCTCGGAACGCAATAACAAAACGAAAAACTGTTAGATAACTTTATTCCTCGCGCTCGCTCCTGCCCTACTTCCTCCCAATCCAGTGGCGCCTCGTCGCTCGCTTAATTCCCCTAACGAGCCGCAATATGTCATTCGCTCGTTCCGGCCATCCAATCGATATTCTCCGAAGGCGAGTTATTAATATTTTCGTAGTACCCGATTTAAAGACCTCGCATATCTCCTTATAAATGAAGTATTTGGAGAGAACTGGTTCGGCCGAATCGAGCCGCTGGCACCATCAAAGGCGGCACAAGTTAAACATTGTTCGGCATTTCGTTTGTATATTGTTTTGAATGCCCCAGCGATGAATCATTCAATCACAAAGCATCAATTATAGTTCGACTTAATCAGGTTGTTGTTTGCTCGTTTTCAGATCTTTTTTTTGTGCCTGGGATTGTGTGCGGCTTTTCCTAGCACGAGCAGGAGCAACGGTCACGAGATGGACGTCCCGGTTGACAGCAACAAGATACAGAGGTTCGTCCACAGGCAGGCGACGATGGACGAGGAGGACCGGGCGCTGAGGAGGATGGCCCTGTCGAATAAGAGCGTCACGTGCAACGACGGCTCGCCGGCTGGGTGAGTTTGGGACACTCTCCCCTATTGTTTAGAATTGTTTAAGTCGCTGAGTCTAACGACAAGGTCTGGTTTGTCGCTAGTTTTAGGCGTCATTTGTCACGCTTGAGTAATTTGAACGCTAATTAGTTAGCTAATTAGTTGGCTAATTAGTGAGATGGATACCTATACACGTGCTCTTAATGATTTGCTCGTTCATCCGCGCAGATTTAATTAATTGTGCATCTGAATTAGCATTCATTCGGTTTTGAAAAAGATGAAAATTACTGTTATAGCGGCGGGAGTGGAGGTTGTTTGTTAATTAAGTCCGCTTGTTATTTATTAAAATAACATCCAATGAAGTTGCATCCTATAAATATATATGTAGATGACTCTCGAATTCTTCCAAAGATGAATTTTTACAGCCGTGAAAAACAAAAAATGCTTCTAAAATCATCGTGTTCCCAAACTTTCATTTATTCTTAATTGGTGAATAGGCAACACATAATACACATCTTAATAATTTGTGCACTACTACTCGATTCTATGGACTTCCACGACTTAAACCAAGGTTATTGGTACTGTTATTGTTGTTATTATTATTATAACCTTCTATGCATATTGAAAAATTGGTCGAAAGTTTTTTCGACAGAACTTCCCTCGCCCCCGACAAATCCGCGTCTTTGGAAAATTATTAAAAATTTTTGCGATTTTTGTTTTCTGTTTATCTCTCCATAAAGAATGAACTGAAAAAATTAAAAATCAGAAAATTCAAGAAGTAAAAAAAATCAAAAAATCCCAAAACTGCAATGTCGAAAAATCCCAAAATTGGAAAATCAGAAAGTCAAAAAGACCAAAAATCGAGAAACCGAATACTGGGAAAATTTTAAAATCGAAAAATCTAAAGCCGGGAAGTCGAAAAATCGAGAAATCGAAACGTCAAAAAATTGAAAAATCAAAAATTCGAAAATTCGAAAAATTGAAAAAGAAATCGGAAAAACTGAAAAAATGGAAGAATATGGAAATTGAAAAATTCCAAAACTGAAATGTCGAAAAATTTACAAACCGAAATATGGAAAATAGATAAATCGAGAAGCCAAAAAGTCGAAAAACAGAGAAATCGAAGAATTGAAAAATTTTAAATTTAAAAATTCGAAAAATTGAAAAAAAATCGAAGAACTGGAAAATCGAAAAATTTGAAATTTGAAAAATCGAAAAATTAAAATATAGTAAAATTGTACTACCGACAAATTGAAAAATTATAAAATGGAAAAATTTAAAACTGAAAAATCCAAAAATTTTAAAATTAAGCAGTTGTAAACTGTAATAATGTTGGAACAGCACTAGATCAAAAAAGTTCAAAATTTGAGAAATCGAAAAAATTTAAATCAAAAACTAGAAAATTTTTCAATCGAAGAAACCAAAACTGAAAAATCGAAAAACTGAAAATCGAGAAACGAAAAATTCCAAAGTTGAAAAATCCAAAAAAACGAAAAAAGGAAAATTTATTTTCCCAAAATACTGAAAATAATGTCAAAAACGAAACATTGAACAAACGACAGACTGAATCGAGAAACGAAATCGAGAAAAATCGAAAATAACGAGAAATCGAAACATGAAAAAATTGAATATTTGAAAAATTTAAAATCGAAGCATTGAGAAATTGAAAAGTTGAAAAACTGAAAAATCGAAGAAATACTGAAGAATCGACAATTTGAAAAATCTCAAAACTGAGGAAAAACGAAAGATTGAAAAATTGAACAGCCGAAAAATCGGAAATTTAAAAAATAGAAACAATGAAGAACTAAAAAACTTAAAAATCCAAAAATAGAACATTAAGAAACGTCAAAAATTGAAAAATTGAAAAATCCGGTAGTTGAAAAGTTACAAAACTGAAATATTGGAAAATAGAGAAATCGTAAAATAAAAAAATCGAGAAATCAAAAATTTTATATATCGAAAATTAGAAGAATCGAAAAACTGAAAATTCCTTAAACTGAAATTACAAGAAATTGAAAAATTGAATATCGAAAAAATTAAGCTTAAAAAAAATCGAATAATCTAAATCCGTAAAGTTGAAAAATCAAAAATTAAAAAATTCCAAAACCGAAATGTCAAAAAGACGAAAATTCAAAAATCTCAAAATTAAAAAAATAAACAATCCAAAAATCGAAACATCCAACTAACAACAAATCGAGAAATCGAAAAACTGAAAATGCGAAAAATTTAAAAATCGACATTCAAAAATTTTTTAAATCGAAAATTTAAACACCTGGAGTCGAAAAATTCAAAACTCGGGGAATCGAAATACCAAAACATTTAAAAATCTGAAATTTAAATTTTCGAAAAATTGAAAAATAAGAAAATCGAAGAACTGAAAAATCGAAAATTCTAAAATTTGAAAGACTGTAAAATTCAAACACATAAAACTGAAAAATCAAAAAACTGAAAAATTGAAGAAATACTGAAGAATCGACACAGAAAAATCGAAAAACTGAAAGTTCGAAAAATTGAAAAAACGAAAATGGAAAAATCGAAAAACCGAAAAATCGGAAATTTAAAAATCGAAAAAATTGAAGAATTGAAAACTGAAAAATCGAGAAATTGAGAAACAGAACATTAAGAAATGTCAAAAATTGAAATATTGAAAAATTGAAAAATTTAAAAATCAAAAAATTGAAAATCTAAAAACAAAGTTTTAAAAAATCGAAAAATCTAAAACCGACAAGTCGAAGTAACTCAAAATCGGAAAAATGGAAGTGGAAAAATTTAAAAATCGAAAATCTAAAGTCTCAAATTCGAAAAATCAAAAATTAAAAAATCTCAAAACCGAAATGTCAAAAAGTCGTAAATTCAAAAAGCCCGAAATCGGAAAATTTTTCTTTAAAACAATCAAAAAATTGAAAATTAAAAAAATCGAGATTTTGAACAATCAAAAAATTGAAACATCCAACTCACGACAAAACGAGAAATCCAAAATTAAAGAATCGAAAAACTGAAGAGTCGAAAAATTTAAAAATTGAAAAATCAAAAAAATTTTAAAATCGAAAAATTGGAAAACCGAAAAAGCTTAAACCGAGGAGTCGAAAAATTAAAAAATCGAGGAATCGAAACCTCAAAAAATTGAAAAATCTGAATTTTAAATTTTCGAAAATTTGAAAAATAGGTAAAATCTAAAAATCTGAAATTTAAAAAATCGATAAATTAAAATGTGTATAGTAAAATTCGATTACCAACAAATCGAAAAATTATAAAAGGGAAAAATTTAAAACTAAAAAATCAAAAAAAAATTAAAATTAAATCGAAAACTGTAATGTTGAAACAGCAAAAGATGAAAAAATTTGAGAAATTGAAAAATATGGAAATGGAAAAATTCAAAACTTGAAAAATCAAAAATTTTTTTAACGAAAACTAGAAAATTTTTCGTTTCTTGATTGTAGTTTTTCGATTTCATTTCAATCGAAGAAACCAAAACTGAAAAATCCGAACACTGGAAATCAAGAAACAAAAAAACCGTAATTTGAAAAATCAAAAAAACTGTACAAAGGACAAATTGAATCCAGAAACGAAAATCGACAAACGGAATAAATGGAAAATCGGAAACAACGAGAAATCGATACACCAAAAAAAAAACGAAAAACAGAAAAATTCAAACATCGAAAAACTGAAAAAGAAGTCGAAAAAAGTAAAATTTAAAAAATCGAAGTGTCGAAAAAGTTGAAGAAGTGAGAAATTCAGAATTCTCAAAACTGAAATGTCGAAAAATTTACAAACCGAAAAATGGAAAATAGATAAATCGAAATATGAAAATACGAATAAATCAAAAATTGAAAAAAATCAAAAAATCGAGAAATTGAACAATGGCAAATTAAGAAACGCTAAAAAACGCAAAATTGAAAACTCAAAAAATTGAAAAATTGAAAAATTGTAAAACTGAAATATTGGAAAGCTGGAAAATCAAAAAGTAAAAATATTGAGAAAGAAATTCAACAATGAATCAAAAAATCTCAAAATTTAAAATTGAAAAAACCGAAAAATTAAAATATAATAAAATTTTACGACTAAGAAATCGAAAAACTATAAAACTGAAAAATCTAAAAATTAAAAAAAAAAATCGGAAATCAACAAATCGAAAAATTAAAAATCAAGAAACGATAAACCTCAAAGTGGAAAAATTCAAAAAACTGAAAAAACAAAGAATTATTTTTTCTTCAATTTTATTATTTAAAAACTGACAAAATTGAAAAGGTTGAATTCGATAAAAGAAAATCGAAAAACTGAATAACTGAAACATCGAAAATGACGAGAAATTGAAACAAAAACTCAAAAAATCTAAAATTTAAAATAAAAAAGTCGAAAAATCGAAAAATTGGACAATAACTTGAAAAATTCCAAAACTGTAAAAAATTGAGAAATCGAAAAATTGAAAAACGGAAAAATCGACATCTCGAATCTTTGAAAAGCCGAAATCGAGAAATTTTCCTATTTTTCTATTCCGCCTTTTCGATGTTGGGAAAATGGGAAAATAGGAAAATCAAAACATCAAAAAGTTGAAAAATCAAGCAATCGAGAAATCGAAAACTCGAAAATTTAGGGACGTCATAAACTGAAAAAAATCGATGAATCGAAAAGGGAAACATCGAAAAATTGAGAAATCGAAAGTAGAAAAATCAATAAGCTGAAATAAAAAACAATACAATTTTGATTTTGTTCCAAAAATTTATATTCTAGGAAAAAAATTCAACACGGATTCATAGACCACAAATTCGGGACTATGTTATTTTTTAACATTTAAATAACATTTATTAAGCCAATTTTTTATGTTATGTTTTTACTCATTTTTATATATGTTGTTTTGATTCATGTTTTTCTGTATAAAAAGATACACTGGTATGAATTTTATTAAAATATAAATAAATACATAGTTTCATCTCAACCGATTTCTTATAAATTATACAGAAATGTATTCATTTCAGACAGCAGTTTTAAAATAATCGATTAAGGTGAAACATCCGATATATGTATCTTAGCTCCGACTACTCTCAAAAAATAAATTGTGGAATAACTATGTAGTCAAACCTGCAACGCAATTTAACATATTTCTCTATTTATTTTATATAGATTTTACCTAAGAAAGTCTAATACCAGTAAGAAATGGATTATATTTTTAGAAGGCGGATGGTATTGCTATGACCACCATAGTTGCAGAAACCGATGGATAAAACAGCACCACTACATGACCTCAGTCAACTGGTCAGAATCCAGAGACGGTAACCCCCACACCTCACACCCCCCAATCTCTAAACTCTCTCTTCCAGTGGGCGGCATCCTCTCCAACCGCATGGAAGAAAACCCCTTCTGGTGGAACGCCAACCACATCTTCATCCCCTACTGCACCAGCGACTCCTGGAGCGGCTCCAAGCCCCACTCCCCCGACGAACTCTTCAGCTTCATGGGCTCCGCCGTCGTCCGCCAAGTCGTCACAGACCTCTTGTCCTTCGGGCTCGAAAACGGCACCGACCTCTTCCTCACCGGGAGCAGCGCCGGCGGGACCGGGGTCATGCTCAACCTGGACCCGGTCCGGGAGCTGCTGCACGACACCCACGGGCTCAAACACATCGCCGTGAAGGGGGTGTGCGACTCGGGGTGGTTCCTGGACAGGACCCCGTACGCCCCCACGCTCAAGCCGGCGGTGGAGGCCATCCGGAAAGGGATGGCGTTGTGGAGGGGGCAGGTCCCGAGGAGGTGCAAGGAGATGTACCCGGACGAGCCGTGGAGGTGCTACTTCGGGTACAGGCTGTATCCGACGCTGCAGAGTGAGTTTGAATATCGGGTTTAGTGAAATAAAGTTTAATTAAACAGTCGTTTTACTTTGTACGGAAGTACGGTATTGTTGGTCGTAAAAAGAACAAAGTGTTTGAGTGGAGGGATGGGAATTTAATAACATGCCTCGAGGTAACTGTTGTGCAACAACAAAGGAATTAAAAATGATGGAATGAGCGGTGGCGGAACGTAAAATTGCATATACAGTGTCTTTGCCTGCAGATTTATGCAAATACGGAAGTTGGATGTAGTTGAGGATTTAGGCGGAATTGATTCATATTTCATAATTTTGTCTACAATTGTTGACATTTATCGTTAGTTGTTACACAAATCTATGGAAAGGGAAGGTTGGAATTGTTTTTATTTCTCGTTTTTCGAAATTAAAATTTTCTGGATTAAATTTTAACTCTTTTCTGTTAGATACGGACAGATCGAAAAAGAAAGTAGTGAAAGTTGGCCATGCACGACAAGCCGTTTGTCGTAATTTAATTTTTTTTATTAAATGTTAAATTGACAGTTTAAAATTAGAACTATGACACCTACTTTTAAAACACATAAAAATGAATCAAAATCACCGCGTTTTCCAATTTCGTCCCATTTCTGAAGTAAGATTCTAACAAAAAAGCTTTAATTTCGTTTGATAACATTGCAAATTACTTTTGCCAGAGTGACGGTTAATAAAAAATTATTTTAAACTAAGACAAACGACTTTTCGTGCATGGCCAACTTTGACTAACTTCTTTTTCGGGTGGGCGGAGCTAAGGTAAAACTTGTTTCGCAAATCACATATCCGCTGAGAAAACAGGGGCGGGTGGGCGGGGCAAGTACTTTCTCAGAAAAAAGTGATTTTGGCAAACGTCATACCCCCTGAGAAAATAGAGGGCGGGTGGGCGGGGCTAGTACTTGCTAAGGTAAAACTTATTTACATCGGTGATCTCAGTTTTCTTATAATTTGTGTTCACGCTTTTTACGCCGAGGGTTTACAAATCTGTACATCACAGATCGCCAGAAAAGGAAAATGGGTGGGTGGGCGGGGTTAACATAAGTACACACCTAAGTAGATATACTGTTCAAGTTATCAATACCTCGTACATTGATGATATAATGGCCTTAATTGAACTTAGTGTATTTGTAAATATACCTTCAATGCAAGGAACTTATATTTTGTTAACGTATATACTCCCCCTATACAGGGTCCTGAAAAAATGACGTACCAACTCTATGACACGTTGTTGAGAACTGTTCATGGAACAGAGAAAAAATAATTTAAAAAATTCTTCGACCCATATGTAGAACATATAGCCCTTCAAAATTTAACTTTTAATTTCTATATTTCACCATATTCTAGTGTTGGATACATGAATTCTTCCTTAATGATTTTTGTCATACAACTGGTGTTTCAGGGATCCGTGCTAGGATTCATTATTGTTTGCCCCGCCCACCCACCCCCTCTTAATTGTGATGATTTTTTTATTCATCGTGAGCCGACGGCGAAGCTTAATTGCTAGTTAAATCCTCATTTCTCTACAAGAAATTTCCATATGAAATATCTTCTTAAAAAAGTAAAATTTTGTAGAGAAATACGGGGTTTGCAGTTAAACTCCGCCGCTCGGTCTGACAACGAATAAAAAAAATCATTACAATTGAGATAGGGTGGTGGGTGGGGCTTATATCTTGCCCTTTCTTCTTATATATACATAGTCTTCTTTTCACAACAAGAAACTTAAAAAATGTTCAAAATTTTTGTAGGGAAGAATGTATTTTGCAATTATGCTCTGTCCCTCGGTCTGACAAAGAATAAAAAATGCATTCCTATTGAAATCGGGACTTTTTTAATTACATATAGTTTTTTTTGAACAACACGAAAGTTGAATGTGTTTTTAGTTTCTTGTTGGGAAAAAAGACTTCGTATATTAAGAAAAAAATGTACCAAATATAAGCCCCGCCCACTTACCCCCTCTCAATTGTGATGACTTTTTATGCATCGTGAGCCGAGGGCGGAGCTTAGTTGCAAAATCCTCATTTCTTTACATGAAATTATCATGTGAAATATATTCTTAAAAGAGCAAAATTTTGTAGAGAAATACCGATTTTGCAATTAAACTTCTCGCTCCGTCTGACAATGAATAAAAAAGATCATTTCAATTGAGACAGGGTGGGTGGGTGGGGCTTATATTTTGTCCTTTCTTCTTAATATACCCAGTCTTCTTTTTGCAACAAGAAACTTAAAAAATGTTCAAAAATTTTGTAGGGAAGAATGTATTTTGCAATTATGCTCTGCCTCTCGGTCTGACAACGAATAAAAAGTTAATTGCTATTGAAATCGGGACTTTTTTAATTATATATGTTTTTTTTTACAACACGATAGTTGAATGTGTTTTTAGTTTCTTGTTGGGTAAAAAGACTTCCTATACTAAGAAAAAATGTACAAAATATAAGCCCCGCCCACCCACCCTCTCCTAATTGTGATGATTTTTTTATTCATTGTCAGTTGACGCCGAAGCTTAGTTGCAAAATCCTCATTTCCCTACAAAAAATTACCATGCGAAATATGTTCTTAACAAAAGAATAAAATTTTGTAAAGAGATACGGATTTTGCAATTAAACTCCGCCACACGCTCTGACCACGAATAAAAAAAAATCATTACAATTGAAATAGGGTGGGTGGGTAGGGCTCATATTTTGCCCTTTTTTCTTAATATACATAGTCACAGCTTCACAACAAGAAACTTAAAAAATGTTCAAAATTTTTGTAGAGACATATGTATTTTGCAATTAGGCTCCGCCCCTCGGTCTGAGAATGAATACAAAATTCACCACAATTAATACGATAGTTAAATATTTTTAGTTTCTTGTTGCGAAAAGAAGACTTTGTATATTAAGAAAAAATGTACATAATATAAGCCCCGCCCACCCACCCCCGTTTAATTGTGATGATTTTTTATTATTCATCGTGAGCCGAGGGCGGAGCTAAGTTGCAAAATCCTCATTTCTTTACATAAAATTACCATGTGAAATATGTTCTTCAAAGAGTAAAATTTTGTACAGAAATACGGATTTTGCAATTAAACTCCGCTGCTCGGTCGGACAACGAATAAAAAAGATTCTTACAATTGAGATAGGGTGGGTGGGTGGGGCTTATATTTTGCCGTTTTTTCTTAATATACATAGTCACAGTTTCACAACAAGAAACTTAAAAAGTGTTTAAAATTTTTGTAGAGACATATGTATTTTTCAATTAGGCTCCGCCCCTCGGTCTGAGAATGAATAAAAAATTCATCACAATTGAGATCGGGACTTTTTTTTTAGTTAGATATAGTTTTCTTTGAACAACACGAAAGTTAAATATGTTTTTAGTTCTTGTTGCCAAAAGAAGACTTCGTATTTTAAGAAAAAATGTACTAAATGTAAGCCCCGCCCACCCACCCACTCTCAATTGTGACGATTTTTTTATTCATCGTAAATTGAAGTCGCAGCATAATTGCAAATTCCTCATTTGTCTGCAAGATTACCATGTGAAATATGTTCTTAAAAGAATAAAATTTTGTAAAAAATACGGATTTTGCAATTAAACTCCGCCGCTCGGTCTGACAACAAATAAAAAAGATCATTACAATTGCGATAGGGTGGGTGGGTGGGGCTTATATTTTGCCCTTTTACCATAATATTACATAGTCTCATTTTCACAACACGAAACTTAGAATATGTTCAAAATTTTGTAGGGAAATATATATTTTGCAATTATGCTCCGCCCCTCGGTATGACAACGAATAAAAAAATTCATCTCAATTGAGATCGGGATTTTTTTTATTATACATAGTTTTTTTTTTAACAACACGATAGTTAATATGTTTTTAGTTTCTTACTACGAAAAGAAGACTTCCTATATTAAAAAAAATAGTACAAAATATAAGCCCCGCCCACCCACCCCCTCTAATTGTGATGATTTTTTTTATTCATTGTCAGTCGACGCCGAAGCTTAGTTGCAAAATCCTCATTTCTCTACAAGAAATTACGATGCCGAATATGTTCTTAACAAAAGAGTAAAGTTTTGTAAAGAAATACAGATTTTGCAATTAAATTCCGCCACACGGTCTGACCACGAATAAAAAAAATCATTACAATTGCGATAGGGTGGGTGGGTGCGGCTTATATTTTGTCCTTTTTTCTTAATATACATAATCTCATTTTCACAACAAGAAATTTAAAAAGTGTTAAAAATTTTGATAGGGAAATATGTATTTTGCAATTAGGCTCCGCCCCTCGGTCTGACAACGAATAAAAAATTCATCACAATTGAGTTCAGGACTTTTTTTAGTTACATGAAGTTTTCTTTGAAGAACACGTTAGTTAAATATGTTTTTAGTTTCTTGTTGGGAAAAGAAGACTTCGTATATTAAGACAAAACGTACAAAATATAAGCCCCGCCCACCCACCCGCTCCCAATTGTGACAATTTTTTTTATTCATCCTGAGCCAACGGCGGAGCTTAGTTGCAAAATCCTCATTTCTCTGCAAGAAATTACCATGCGAAATATGTTCTTAAAAGAGTAAAATTTTGTGAAGAAATACGGATTTTGCAATTAAACTCCCCCGCTCGGTCTGACCACGAATAAAAAAGATCATTACAATTGAGATAGGGTGGGTGGGTGGGGCTTATATTTTGCCCTTTTTTCTTAATATACATAGTCACAGTTTCACAACAAGAAACTTAAAAAGTGTTCAAAATGTTTGTAGAGACATATGTTTTTTGCAATTAGGCTCCGCCCCTCGGTCTGATAATGAATAAAAAATTCATCACAATTAATACGATAGTTAAATATTTTTAGTTTCTTGTTGCGAAAAGAAGATTTTGTATATTAAGAAAAAATGCACATAATATAATCCCCGCCCACCCACCCCCGCTTAATTGTGATGATTTTTTTATTATTCATCGTGAGTCGAGGGCGGAGCTTAGTTGCAAAATCTTCATCTCTCTACAAGAAATTACCATGTGGAATATGTTCTTAAAAGAGTAAAATTTTGTAGAGAATACGGGGTTTGCAGTTAAATTCCGCCGCTCGGTTTGACAACGAATAAAAAAAATCATTACAATTGAGACAGGGTGGGTGGGTGGGGCTTGTATTTTGCCCTTTCTTCTTATTATACATAGTCTCATTTTAACAACAAGAAACTTAAAAAATCTTCAAAATTTTTGTAGGGAAGAATGTATTTTGCAATTATGCTCTGTCCCTCGGTCTGACAAAGAATAAAAAATGCATTCCTATTGAAATCGGGACTTTTTTAATTACATATAGTTTTTTTTGAACAACACGAAAGTTCAATGTGTTTTTAGTTTCTTGTTGGGAAAAAAGACTTCGTATATTAAGAAAAAAATGTACCAAATATAGGCCCCGCCCACCCACCCCCTTGCAATTGTGATGATTTTTTTATTCACCATGAGCCGAGGGAGGAGCTTAGTTGAAAATCTTCATCTCTCTACAAGAAATTACCATGTGAAATATGTTCTTAAAAGGGTAAAATTTTCTAGAGAAATACGGATTTTGCAATTAAACTCCGCCGCTCCGTCTGAAAACGAATAAAAAAGATCCTTACAATTGAGATAGGGTGGGTGGGTGGGGCTTATATTTTGCCTTTTCTTCTTAAGATACATTCTTTTCAGAACAAGAAACTTAAAACATGTACAAAATTTTTGTAGAGAAATACGGATTTTGCAATTAAACTCCGCCGCTCCGTCTGACGACGAATAAAAAAGATCATTACAATTGAGATAGGATGGGTGGGTGGGGCTTATATTTTGCCTTTTCTTCTTAAGATACATTCTTTTCAGAACAAGAAACTTAAAACATGTACAAAATTTTTGTAGAGAAATACGGATTTTGCAATTAAACTCCGCTGCTCGGTCTGACAACGAATAAAAAAGATCATTACAATTGAGACAGGGTGGGTGGGTGGGGCTTATATTTTGTCCTTTCTTCTTAATATACCCAGTCTTCTTTCTACAACAAGAAACTTAAAAAATGTTCAAAAATTTTGTAGGGAAGAATGTATTTTGCAATTATGCTCTGCCTCTCGGTCTGACAACGAATAAAAAGTTAATTGCTATTGAAATCGGGACTTTTTTAATTATATATGTTTTTTTTTACAACACGATAGTTGAATGTGTTTTTAGTTTCTTGTTGGGTAAAAAGACTTCCTATACTAAGAAAAAATGTACAAAATATAGGCCCCTCCCACCCACCCCCTCGCAATTGTGATAATTTTTCATTCACCGTGAGCCGAGAGAGGAGCTTAGTTGCAAAATCCTCATTTCTCTTGAAGAAGTTACCATGTGAAATATGTTCTTAAAAGAGTAAAATTTTGTAAAGAAATCCGGATTTTACAATTAAACTCCGCCGCTCGATCTGACAACGAATAAAAAAGATTATTACTGTTGAGATAGGGTGGGTGGGTGGTTGGGTAGGCTTATATTTTGCCCTTTCTTATTAATACACCACGTAGTCTTATTTTCACAACAAGAAACTTAAAAAGTGTTTAAAATGTTTGTAGAGAAATATGTATTTTGCAATTAGGCTCCGCCCCTCGGTATGACAACGAATAAAAATTCATCACAATTGAGATCTGGACTTTCTTTTATTACACATAGTTTTTTTTAACAACACGAAAGTTAATATGTTTTTAGTTTCTTGTTACGAAAGAAGACTTCGTATATTAAGAAAACATATACAAAATATAAGCCCCGCCCACCCACCCCCTCCTAATTGTGATGATTTTTTTATTCATTATCAGTTGACGCCGAAGCTTAGTTGCAAAATCCTCATTTCCCTACAAAAAATTACCATGCGAAATATGTTCTTAACAAAAGAACAAAATTTTGTAAAGAGATACGGATTTTGCAATTAAACTCCGCCACACGGTCTGACCACGAATAAAAAAAAATCATTACAAGTGAAATAGGGTGGGTGGGTGGGGCTTATATTTTGTCCTTTTTCCTTAATATTACATAGTCTCATTTTCACCACAAGAAACATAAAATATGTTCAAAATTTTGTAGGGAAATATATATTTTGCAATTTTACTCCGCCCCTCGGTCTGACAACGAATAAAAAATTCATCACAATTGAGATCTGGACTTTTTTAATTACACATCGTTGTTTTTAACGACACGGTAGTTAATATGTTTTTAGTTTCTTGTTGGAAAAAGAAGACGTCATATATTAGCGAAGAATGTGGAAAATATAAGCCCCGCCCACCCACCCCTTCTTAATTGTAATGATTTTTTTATTCACCGTGAGTCGAGAGCGGAGCTTAGTTGCAAAATCCTCATTTCTCTACAAGAAATTACCATGCGAAATATGTTCTTAATAAAAGAGTAAAATTTTGTAAAGAAATACGGATTTTCCAATTAAACTTCGGCGCTCGGTCTGACAACGAATAAAAAAAATCATTACAATTGAAATAGGGTGGGTGGGTAGGGCTCATATTTTGCCCTTTTTTCTTAATATACATAGTCACAGTTTCACAACAAGAAACTTAAAAAATGTTCAAAATTTTTGTAGAGACATATGTATTTTGCAATTAGGCCCCGCCCCTCGGTCTGAGAATGAATAAAAAATTCATCACAATTAATACGATAGTTAAATATTTTTAGTTTCTTGTTGCGAAAAGAAGACTTTGTATATTAAGAAAAAATGTACATAATATAAGCCCCGCTCACCCACCCCCGCTTAATTGTGATGATTTTTTTTACATTTCTTTACATAAAATTACCATGTGAAATATGTTCTTCAAAGAGTAAAATTTTGTACAGAAATACGGATTTTGCAATTAAACTCCGCCGCTCGGTCTCACAACGAATAAAAAAGATCCTTACAATTGAGATAGGGTGGGTGGGTGGGGCTTATATTTTGCCCTTTTTTTCTTAATATACATAGTCTCATGTTCACAACAAGAAACTTAAAAGATGTTCAAAATTTTTATAGAGAAATATGTATTTTGAAATTTGGCTCCGCTCCTCGGTCTGACAACGAATAAAAAATTCATCCCAATTGAGATCTGGACTTTTTTTAGTTATATATAGTTTTCTTTGAACAACACAATAGTTAAATATTTTTAGTTTCTTGTTGAGAAAAAAAATATTTCGTATATTAAAAAAAATGTACGAAATATAAGCCCCACCCACCCACCCGCTCTCAATTGTGACGATTTTTTTATTCATCACTTCTTTCTTCTCTAAATTTTTCCTACAAAGGTGCTCGTCTTTGAGTAATCGTTTTTCCCCAAATCGGAAATTGTCCTTGGTTTGTAGTAAACCCTGTATAAGACGACTTTGTACATCTAAATCTATCTGCTAGTATCTCTGACTCAAATCTAAGTGAGAAAAATAAATCAGTCCTGATAATGAATCGAAAATGTGTGTAATGGTTAGTAAGGGAAATTTATCGTCTTCAATTTTTTGATTAAGTAACCCGTAATTAATAACTACTCTTATTTCTTTTTTCTCCCAAACAACTTTTTTTGAAACTAACACAAGTGGTACGAAAATTCACTTTTAAATTCTTCTATTATTATATCATTTTTTAACATCTCACGTATTTGTTTTTCGATTTCCGATTTTTGCGTTTGTGGAATTCTTTATGGTTTGACGTAAACAGGACTTGCATTATCCTTCAGTCTAATGGATTGTTTATACAAATTAGTTGCTCATGATTTATCTTCTGGTAAATGAAATAAGTATATCATCCTATTTAGCACAAATGTTTTCGATTGTTACTCATTCATTTTTGTCGCTAAATGAAACAAAAAATAATCCGAATTTTTATGTGAATAATCAGAACTTTGATTCGACTTGTATTTCTTAAGTATTAAGGTTATTACAATTTCGTTTGTTGTGATTTGCCGACATAATTTGATTTTCTGAACCGAACCGTGATATTTCTTCCTCTTGCGCTACTCGAATTGCGTCATTAAGAGATGAAACATTTCTAAATCCAACAATGGTACTTAATTTTTGATTACGTAAACCATCCGCAAATCTTTTAATAGCATTCTTCTCATCAACCAACTTTAAAATATATATTTCTTCTTTGTCTAATAAACAGCTATAAATTTGGTTAGCAACTATGGGATTTAAATTTTTTTAATATAATAATGATAATAATAATAGACCGTCTTTTGGACGCTCCACATGCACACATCAATCGAAAACCGCACGTTCGTTCACCCACTAAAACCCTTTTATTACTTTCAGCCGAACTCTTTGTCTTTCAATGGCTCTTTGATGAGGCCCAAATGGACGCAGATAACGTGGGTGCTCCAGTCACAAAACAGCAGTGGGATTACATTCACAAAATGGGGGACGCTCTGCGCCAGAGTTTTGAAAACGTTTCCGCCGTGTTCGCCCCCTCGTGCATATCTCACTCAGTCCTAACAAAACGCGACTGGCAAAACGTGAAAATAGACGACATATCTATAGCGGAAGCCCTACATTGTTGGGAACAAAAGCTCCACAGAAGAAGACTGCGAAAGCTGCGAAACGCGCGAATGTTCGGCGACCAGCCCAGAGCCCTGAGGAGACGAAAACAGTCCAACCGGACCGCGGAAGCGAGCAACTCGACGATGAACCCAGACACCAGCGACGAGCAGAAGAAGAGGAAGAGGAAGCACAGGAAGAACCGGAAATGCAAGAAAAAGAAAGGTAAAAAGATTTAGGATGAAGTGGAACGTAGGTGACATGGTTGTTTCAGATTTGGTGCTGGAGGACGATAGTCTCGCCAACGCGACGGATCGCCGCCCCCAGCGGTCGCTGCCGCCCCCGAAGAAGCCCCGTCGGTGCGTGCACAGGAGACTCGAGAGGTGCTCGTGGCCGCAGTGCAACCACTCGTGTCCCCGACTGCACAACCCCTTCACGGGGGAGGAAATGGACTTTATCGAGTTGTTGAAGTCGTTCGGGTTGGATATGGAGAGTGTGGCCAAAGCTCTGGGAATCGACATGCAAACTTTGAACGACATGGACCATTCGGAGCTGCTGAATCTGCTGACGCAGCAGTCGAGTTGATCATGAGGTTGAAGCCCATTGGAAATCCGAATGCTTTAATTCGAGCGACGAGTCTTTATAAAATGATGTACATAGTGGATATTTATTGTAGAGAGCTATTTTTTATATTTTTTTAAGGTTAGGAAGGGAGCGACGAGGGCAAATTTGAGACGCTTTTATTTATTTTGTTAGAGTTCCAAAGACGTTTGCCCGTTAGTAACAATAGGACTGATTTTTTTTCTACCTCAGTTGTACAGTTTAGTCATAAGTTACCTAATTTGTACTATAGGTTTGTAGGTCAAAAAGTACCTTGACTAATCAGTTTTTAATACGTAATAAAGTTTGCATATTTTGGTTAGTGTTGGCTTTCTAGTTGGAAATAATCACACAAGAAAATTACTGACTAACCCGATAAAACTGATTCGTGTAAATAACCTAATCACGATGACATGCGTTTTAAAAGTATTGTTTCATGGTTGTGGATTGAAACGTACAAATAATTTGCACACAACTTCTAGTTCAATACTATGAAGTAATTGTTATCTCGACAATAAAATAATTTTAATAGATAACAACCATTACATAAAGCGCGCTTATCATCAAATACTCAGTCACCATGAATTCCTGGTTATCTCTACCCGTAACACTCCTCCTAATAAGTGGAGCACAATGTGCCAAAATCCTAGGCGTTTTTCCCATGGCAGCCCCAAGTCACTACATCCTAGGCAACAACCTGATGAGAGGACTCGCAGAAAAAGGGCACGACGTGACTGTTATAAGTCCCTTCACTGAGAAAAATCCACCCAAGAATGGTTCATACAGAGACATTGTCCTTAAGGGCTTTAAAGAAGAGCACGAAGGTAAAATTGTTCCCTCCACTACCACAATTTATTAGTTTATTATTAGATCGAATGAAAACACTGAATGTGTTTGACATGGGTGAAGCGAGTATGCTCCTCATGGGACCATTTTTTGCTACAATGATGGTAGACCTGGCGGAACGTACCCTAAGTCAACCAAATGTGCAAGAACTGATCTACTCTGATGAAAAATTCGATGTTGTTATAGTCGAGCAGTTCATGAACGAAGCCCACAAGGGATTTGCCAAACATTTTAATGCTCCTTTGATAGTTTTTAGTACCATTGGAGCGAGTTCTTGGGTTAATCCCCTAGTTGGTAACCCCACAGCGGTGTCTTATGCTTCCGAGCCCCTGCGAGGGTTTCCTACTAATATGACGTTGTACGAGAGGTACCTTAATGCGTTCACGTACAGCTACTTTCAACTGATAAATTATGTATATGCTTTCCCACAACAAGACAAACTATTGAAGAAGTACTTCCCCAACAACATGAATCTTACTGATGTCATGTACAACGTATCATTGGTACTGTTGAACTCCCACCCAAGTACCAACCTCGCCGTTCCCTATGTTCCAAACATGATCGACATTGGAGGTTTTCATGTCAAGCCACCAAAGAAACTCCCAGATGACTTAAAACAGTTCCTTGACAATTCGAAAGAAGGAGTTATTTATTTTAGTTTGGGCTCAAACGTGAAGAGCGTTTTCCTACCAGAACAGAAACGAGAGGCGATTTTGAACGCCTTTTCTAAACTCAAACTAAAAGTCTTGTGGAAGTGGGAGGACGACGTTCTACCTGGACAACCACCGAATGTGCGTTTGGGGAAATGGTTACCACAACAAGACGTTCTAGCTCATCCCAACGTAAAGCTTTTCATCACCCATGGCGGTCTGCTCAGTACCATCGAAACCATTTACCATGGAGTCCCGGTTTTGGCAATCCCTATAGCCGCTGACCAAAATTTGAACGCCGAACGAATAGTGAATCAAGGTTTTGGGCTAAAGTTGAGGTTTGCGGATCTTACAGAGGAGCTTCTGCTTCAAACGATTAACGAATTGTTGACGAATTCGAAGTAGGTTTCCAATTTTTGTTGTTGTTGTTGTTTTATTCTGTATTTGAAGGTATGCTACAAATGCGAAAAAAAGGTCTGAAGTTTTCCATGACCGGATGGCGAAACCTCTTGACACTGCAGTGTATTGGGTTGAGTACGTCATACGACATGGAGGAGCTCCGCACTTGCGGATAGCCGGGATTGATCTATCTTGGTATCAGTATTTCCTGTTGGACGTTATCTTGATTTTTTCAGTGACGAGTGTGATTGTGTTGTATATTAGTTTGAAACTGATTAAGAGATTGGTGTCTAGTTGTTGTAGAAGTAAAAAACAAAAAATAAAAACTAACTAAAAATAAAGGAATTTCTTTTTCAACACTTTTTTCGATTTTTTTTCCTTTTTGACCAAGGTTGACCCTGTACTTTTCTTTTTTCTTTTTCGTTAAACCATTAAGTGGGATTTATAAACTTGCTGTTGACGTTACTTTCAGAGCTGAAAATTGTCATTTATAAACTTCGGTACCAAGTTAGCGTTGATAATAACATTGATGTTCAACTTTTGCCGTATTTAAAGGCGTTGTAGAAGAAAAGTGGACGATTTAAGTTGATTGCTACAAAAATTTACCATTTTAGACATTTTTTAGTTTCTTGTTGTCGAAATAAGTCTACACATATTAAGAAAAAAAGGCAAAATATATGCCCCGACCACCCAAGTTATTAAATATGAACATTGAAAAAAGAAAGAAAATAAAAAACAGGAACAAAAATTTTCGAAAATAGTTGAAAAGTGGTCGAATATGTCAAAAGTGCCGAAATCAGTCTTATCAAATACTAGCCCCGCCCACCCACCCTCTATTTTCTTACAAGGTATGTTATTTGTCAAAGTCAGTTTTATCTTATCAAATACTGACCCCGCCCACCCACCCGCGCTTTATTTTCTTATAGAATGTCATTTGCTAAAATCTCTCTTATCTTAGCTAGTACTGTGTAAGATAAGACTGATTTTGGCAAATGACATATCCTTTAAAAAAAGAGAGGGTGGGTGGGCGGGGCTAGTGCTTGGTAAGATAAGACTAATTTTGGCAAATAATATATCTTCTAAGAAAAGAGAGGGCGGGTGGGCGGGGCTAGTGCTTGGTAAGATAAGACTGATTTTGGCAAATGACATATCCTCCAAGAAAATAGAGGGCGAGATCCTAAAATTGAAAGAGTAAATTTTTTTAAATTTATAATTATTAGTTTTACAATTGAAATGAAAACTAAAAAAATCGTAATTCCAAAGTTGAAGAAACGAAAAGCGAAAAATCTAAAAGTTGAAAATTTTAAAAATTGAAAAAAAAGAAAAACTATAAATTATGAACATTGAAAAAAAAAAAAGAAAATAAAAACAGAAATAATAATTTTTGAAAATAGTTGAAAAGTGGTCGAGTATGTCAAAAGTGCCAAAATCAGTCTAGCCCCACCCACCCACCCTCTGTTTTCTTACAAAGTATGTTAATTGCCAAAGTCAGTCTTATCTTATCAAATACTGGCCCCGCCCACCCACCCGCCCTTTATTTTCTTATAGAATGTCATTTGCCAAAATCTGTCTTATTCTAGCTCGTACTGGGTAAGATAAGACTGATTTTGGCAAATGACATACCCTCTAAGAAAGGAAAGGGCGGGTGGGCGGGGCTAGTACTTGGTAAGATAAGACTGATTTCAGTTAGTTGCACATTTGAAAACAAACCTAGAAAAATTGTTATTCAAAAGTTGAAAAAACGAAAAACAAAAAATCTAAAAGTTGAAAATTTAAAAAATTGAAAAAAAAAATTATAAAATATGAACATGAAAAAAGAAAGAAAATAAAAAAGAGAAACAGAAATTTTTGAAAATAGTTGAAAAGTGGTCGAATATGTCAAAAGTGCCAATATCAGTTTTATCTTATCAAATACTGGCCCCGCCCACCCGCCCTTTATTTTCTTATAGAATGTCATTTGTCAAAATCTCTCTTATCTTAACTAGTACTGGGTAAGATAAGACTGATTTTGGCAAATGACATACCCCGTAAGAAAAGAGAGGGCGGGTGGGCGGGGCTAATATTTGGTAAGATGAGACTGATTTAAGTTAGTTGCACATTTGAAATGAAAACTAGAAAAATTGTAATTCAAAAGTTCAGGAAACGAAAAATGAAAAAATCTAGAAGTTGACAATTTAAAAAATTGAAAAAAAAAAAAAATTGAAAAAACAAAAAAAACACGAACAAAAATTCTCAAAAATAGTTGAAAAGAGATCGAATATCTCAAAAGTGCCAAAATCAGTCTCATTTTATCAAATACTAGCCCCGCCCACCCACCCTGTATTTTCTTACAAGGTATGTTATTTGCCAAAGTCAGTCTTATCTTATCAAATACTGGCCCCGCCCACCCACCCGCCTTTTATTTTCTTATAGAATGTCATTTGCCAAAATCTGTCTTATTCTAGCTCGTACTGGGTAAGATAAGACTGATTTTGGCAAATGACATACCCTCTAAGAAAGGAAAGGGCGGGTGGGCGGGGCTAGTACTTGGTAAGATAAGACTGATTTCAGTTAGTTGCACATTTCAAAACAAAACTAGAAAAATTGTTATTCAAAAGTTGAAAAAACGAAAAACAAAAAATCTAAAAGTTGAAAATTTAAAAAATTGAAAAAAAAAATTATAAAATATGAACATGAAAAAAGAAAGAAAATAAAAAAGAGAAACAGAAATTTTTGAAAATAGTTGAAAAGTGGTCGAATATGTCAAAAGTGCCAATATCAGTTTTATCTTATCAAATACTGGCCCCGCCCACCCGCCCTTTATTTTCTTATAGAATGTCCTTTGTCAAAATCTCTCTTATCTTAACTAGTACTGGGTAAGATAAGACTGATTTTGGCAAATGACATACCCCGTAAGAAAAGAGAGGGCGGGTGGGCGGGGCTAATATTTGGTAAGATGAGACTGATTTAAGTTAGTTGCGCATTTGAAATGAAAACTAGAAAAATTGTAATTCAAAAGTTCAGGAAACGAAAAATGAAAAAATCTAGAAGTTGACAATTTAAAAAATTGAAAAAAAAAGAAAAATTATAAAATATAAACATCGAAAAAAGAAAGAAAATAAAAAAGAGAAACAGAAATTTTTGAAAATAGTTGAAAAGTGATCGAATATGTCAAAAGTGCCAAAATCAGTCTCATTTTATCAAATACTAGCCCCGCCCACCCACCCTGTATTTTCTTACAAGGTATGTTATTTGCCAAAGTCAGTCTTATCTTATCAAATTCTAGCCCCGCCCACTTAAATATGTCAAAACTGCCAAAATCAGTTTTATCTTATCAAATACTGGCCCCGCCCACCCACCCTCTATTTTCTTACAAGGTTTGTTATTTGCCAAAGTCAGTCTTATCTTATCAAATCCTGGCCCCGCCCACCCACCCGCCCTTTATTTCCTTATAGAATGTCATTTGCCAAAATCTATCTTCTCTTAGCTAGTTGATACGAGTATTTCGATTTAGCTATTGTTTAATTTTTAATACCCCGAGTTTTCGATTTTTAGACATCTCAGTTTTTCAAGTTTTTGATTTGTCAATATTTCAACATTTTAATTTTTTATAATTTTTCATTTTTTCGATTTTCTAAATTCCAGACGTTTCAGTTTTTCGATTTTAGATTTTTCACTTCTTTGATGTTTCTGTTTTCAAATTTTCAAATTTTTAATTTTAGATTTTTTTGTCGTTAATTTTCCAGTTTTCGACTTCCCGTTTTAGATTTTCGGTTTTTCCATTTTTAGATTTTTCATTCTTCGATTACTAGATTTATCGAAATTTCGATGTTTCAATTTTTTTATTGTTCACGTTCTGGATTTTTCAATTTTCCAATTTTTTGATCTTTTTTGAATTATCGATTTTTTAAATTTTCCAGTTTTCCAATTTTTGGCATTTTGGCAAATGACATACCCCGTAAGAAAAGAGAGGGTGGGTGGGCGGGGCTAGTATTTGTAAAAATGAGACTGATTTCAGTTAGTTGCACATTCGAAATGAAAACTAGAAAAATTGTAATTTAAAAGTTGAAGAAACGGAAAATTAAAAAATCTAATAGTTGAAAATTGAAAAAATTGAAAAAAAAGAAAAATTACAAAATATAAACATTGAAAAAAGAAAGAAAGTAAAAAACAGAACAAAAATTTTCGAAAATAATAGAAAAGTGGTCGAATATCAAAAATCAGTCTTGTCTTAGCTAGTACTGGGTAAGATAAGAATGATTTTGGCAAATAACATACCCCGCAAGAAAAGAGAGGGCGGGTGGGCGGGGCTAGTACTTCGTAAGATAAAACTGATTTAAGTTAGTTGCACATTTGAAATGAAAACTAGAAAGAAGTTGAAGAAACGAAAAAAGAAAAAATCTAAAAGTTGCAAATTTAAAAAATTGAAAAAAAAGGAAAAATTATAAACATAAACATTGAAAAAAGAAAGAAAGCAAAAAACAAAAACAAAAATTTTCGAAAATGGTTGAAAAGTGGTCGGTTGTGTCAAAAGTGCCAAAATCAGTCTTATCTTATCAAATACTGGCCCCGCCCACCCACCCGCCCTTTATTTTCTTATAGAATGTTATTTGCAAAAATCTGTCTTGTCTTAGTACTGGGTAAGATAAGACTAATTTTGCCAAATGACATACCCGGTAAGAAAAGAGAGGGCGGGTGGGCGGGGCTAGTACTTGTAAAACTGATTTAAGTTAGTTGCACATTCGAAATGAAAACTAGAAAAATTGTATTTTAAAAGTTGAAGAAACGAAAAATTAAAAAATCTAATAGTTGAAAATTTAAAAAATTGAAAAAAAATTATAAAATGCAAACATTGAAAAACAAAAAGAATAAAAAACAAAAACAAAAATTTTAGAAAATAGTTGAAAATTTCTCGAATATGTCAACAATGCCAAAATCAGTCTTATCTTATCAAATACAGGCCCCGCCCACCCACCCGCCCTTTATTTTCTTGCCAAAATCTGTCTTATCTTAGCTAATACTGGGTAAGATAAGACTGATTTTGGCAAATGACATACTCCGTAAGAAAAGAGAGGGCGGGTGGGCGGGGCTAGTATTTGGTAAGATGAGACTGATTTAAGTTAGTTGCACATTTGAAATGAAAACTAGAAAAATTGTAATTCAAAAGTTGAAAAGACGAAAAACGAAAAATCTAAAAGTTGAAAATTTAAAAATTGAAAAAAAAGAAAAAATATAAAATATGAACACTGAAAAAAAAAAGAAAATAAAAAATAGAAACAAAAATTTTTTAAAATAGTTGGAAAGTGGTCGAATATGTCAAAAGTGCCAAAATCAGTCCTATCTTATCAAATACTAGCCCCGCCCACCCACCCTGTATTTTCTTACAAGGTATGTTATTTGCCAAAATCAATCTTATCTTATCAAATACAGGCCCCGCCCACCCACCTGCTCTTTATTTTCTTATAGAATGTCATTTTGAAATTCTGTCTCATCTTAGCTAGTACTAGGTGAGATAAGACTGATTTTGGCAAATGACATACCCCGTAAGAAAAGAGAGGGCGGGTGGGCGGGGTTAGTATTTGGTAAGTTAAGACTGATTTAAGTTAGTTGCACATTTGAAATGAAAACTAGAAAAATTTTAATTCAAAAGTTGAAAAAACGAAAGATGAAAATATCTAAAAATTGAAAATTTAAAAAATTAAAAAAAAAGAAAAATTATAAAATGTAAGCAGTGAAAAAAGAAAAAAAAAACAAACAAAAATTTTCGAAAATAGTTGAAAAGTGGTCGAATATGTCAAATGTGCCAAAATCAGTCTTATCTTAAAAATACAGGCCCCGCCCACCCACCCGCCCTTTATTTTCTTATAGAATGTCATTTGCCAAAATCTGTCTTATCTTAGCTAGTACTTGGTAAGATAAGACTGATTTTGGCAAATCACATACCCCGTAAGAAAAGAGAGGGCGGGTGGGCGTTACTAATACTTGGTAAGATGAAACTGATTTAAGTTAGTTGCACATTTGAAATGAAAACTAGAAAAATTGTAATTCAAAAGTTGAAAAAACGAAAAATGAAAAAATCTAACAGTTGAAAATAAAAAAAAATAAAAAAAAGAAAAATTATAAAATATAAACATTGAAAAAAAAAGAAAGTAAAAAAGAGAAAAAAAATTTTCGAAAACAGTAGAAAAGTGGTCGAATATGTCAAACGTGCGAAAATCAGTCTTATCTTATCAAATACTAGCCCCACCCACCCACCCACTATTTTCTTACAAGGTATGTCATTTGCCAAAATCAGTCTTATGTTGGCACGTACTAGCCCCACCCATCCGCCTTCTATTTTCTTAGAGAGTATGTCATTTGCCCTGATCTAGATAGTAATGAAGTTTTTATTCGTTGGCGGACCTAGGGGCGGAGCCTAATTGCAAAATCCATATTTCCTCACAAAAATTTACCATTTTAAACCTGTTTTAAGTTTCTAAGAATAATAAAAATCATCACAATAGAAAAGGGGTGGGTGGGCGGGGTTTATATTTTGTCTTTTTTTCTTAATGTACATAGTATACTTTGAACAACACGATATTCAAAAACTTGTTTTTAATTTTTTGTAAAGAAATAAAGATTTTGATTCAGGGCGAATAAAAAACATCATCACAATAGGGATAAGGGGTGGCGGGCTTACAATTAAGAAAAGAAAAAGCTAATTTTTCATTCGATATAGGGCATTATTAAATTATTCAGTTTTTCTGAAAATAATATTCCTGTTATTAATAATCCAGACAATAAACAATTACTATCAATTAACAGATTTTCTACATTTAGAAAACAATTTTAGTGTTATCTCAACATAAAAATAATTTTAACAGATAACAGACATTACATAAAGTGGGCTTATCATCAACTACTCAGTCGCCATGAATTCCCGGTTATCTCTACTCGTAACACTCCTCCTACTAACAAGTGGCGCACAATGTGCCAAAATTTTAGCCGTCTTTCCTATGGGAGCCCCCAGTCACTACATCCTGGGCAGTACCCTACTACGAGGACTCGCAGAAAAGGGACACGACGTAACCATGATAAGTCCCTTCTCTGAGAAAACTCCACCCAAGAATGGTTCCTATAGAGATATAGTTCTTACTGGCGTCAAAGAAGAACACGAAGGTAAGTGTACTTCACCCCACTACCCACATTTACGTACAAGATTTTATGTTCAGAACGAATGAAAACAATGAATGTGTTTGATATGGGTGAAGCCAATATTCTTCTAATGGGACCACTTTTTTTCACAACGATGGTAGACTTGACAGACCGTACCCTCGGTCAACCAGAAGTGCAAAAGTTGATCCACTCTGGAGAAAAATTCGATGTTGTTATAGTTGAACAGTTCATGAACGAAGCGCATAAAGGATTTGCGAAGCATTTTAATGCTCCTCTGATTGTTTTTAGTACCATTGGGGCTAGTTCTTGGGTTAATCCTCTGGTGGGTAACCCAACAATGGTATCTTATGACCCTGAGCCACTACGGGGGTTTTCTAGCAAAATGACGTTGTATGAAAGGTATATCAATGCGTTCACGTATAGCTACTTTCAACTGATAAGTCATCTGTATGCGTACCCACAACATGACAAAATATTGAAGAAGTACTTCCCCAACAACATGAATCTCGTTGATATCATGTATAATACATCGTTGGTACTTTTGAATTCTCATCCAAGTACCAATCTGGCGGTTCCTTACGTTCCAAACATGATTGACATTGGAGGATTTCATGTCAAGCCACCACAGAAACTCCCAGATGATTTACAAAAGTTCCTTGACAATTCGAAAGAAGGGGTTATTTATTTTAGTTTGGGCTCAAATGTGAAGAGTGTTTTCCTACCAGAACAGAAACGAGAGGCGATTTTGAACGCTTTCTCTAAACTCAAAGTTAAAGTTTTGTGGAAATGGGAGGAGGACGTTTTGCCTGGACAACCACCAAATGTGCGTTTGGGGAAATGGTTACCACAACAAGACATTCTAGCTCATCCCAACGTTAAGCTTTTCATCACCCATGGTGGGCTACTCAGTACCATCGAAACCATTTACCATGGAGTACCGGTTTTGGCAATCCCCATAGCCGGTGACCAAAAACTAAACGCCGAACGTATAGTGAATCAAGGTTTTGGGCTAAAGTTGAGGTTTGCGGATCTTACAGAGGAGCTTCTGCTTGAAATGATTAATGAGTTGTTGACGAATCCGAAGTAGGTTTACGATTTTTTGTTGTTGTTGTTGTTGTTTAATTTTATGTTTGAAGGTATGCTACCAATGCGAAAAAAAGGTCTGAGGTTTTCCACGATCGGATGGCGAAACCTCTTGACACTGCAGTGTATTGGGTTGAGTACGTCATACGACATGGAGGGGCTCCACACTTGAGGATAGCCGGGATTGATTTGTCTTGGTATCAGTATTTTCTGGTGGATATTATTTTGATTTTTTCAGTGACGAGTGTGATTGTGTTGTATATTAGTTTGAAACTGGTCAAAAGATTGGTGTCTAGTTGTTGTAGAAGTAAGAAACAAAAAATAAAAACTAAGTAAAATAACAGAATTTTTCTTTCCCCGTTTTTTCGGTTTTTCTGTTTTTTTTTTTTGCCTTAAAATTACCATGTATCAATCAACAATTCTGGAAAAACAGTGAAAGTTATCGAAGAAATAAGGCCGGAAATGACTTCTGTGGTCCAAAATCTACAAGAAGATGGGTTTAGTTAAATTTCGAAAATCGCCAAAAATGGGTTAAAATTTGCATACATAGTGGAAAATTTCATTAAAAAGAGAAAAATTAAGAAACCAAAATTTCAAAATCCGAAAAATCGAAAGATCAAGAAATAGAGAAATAAAAAAAATCTAAAAATATATAATTTAAAAACATCGAAAAATTGAAAAATTTAGAAATTGGAAAAAATGGTTTTGAAAATGTCAAAATTTCGGCGAAATTTGAAGAAGGGGGACCATTGGAAAATTTTCACTTTTAAAAAACTCGTCTAAAAATTTTGAAAAAATTCAGAGACGTAGATCTCGACGTGCTGATTCCAAAAATATAGCCTGTTGATGGTCGCGGAGCAACATTTTCGAAGAAATCGGTACGAAATGCCTAATTTATCGAAATTTCAAAAATTTCGATATTTCAACCGTCGATTCTGGAAAAACGGTTGCAGCTATCAAAGAATCGAGGCCGGAAGTGAGTTCCAGGGCTCGAAATCTACAAGAAACTGTACTCAGTTAGGTTTCGAAAATGTCAAAATTTCGACGAAATTTGAAGAAGGGGGGACCATTGGAAAATTTTCACTTTTAAAAAACTCGTCAAAAAATTCTGAAAAAATTCAGGGACGTAGATCTCGACGTGCTGATTCCAAAAATATAGCCTGTTGATGGTCGCGGTGCGACATTTTCGAAGAAATCGGTACGAAATGCCTAATTTATCGAAATTTCAAAAATTTCGATATTTCAACCGTCGATTCTGGAAAAACGGTTGCAGCTATCAAAGAATCGAGGCCGGAAGTGAGTTCTACGGCTCGAAATCTACAAGAAAATGTACTCAGTTAGGTTTCGAAAATGTTAAAATTTCGACGAAATTTGAAGAAGGGGGGACCATTGGAAAATTTTCACTTTTAAAAAACTCGTCAAAAAATTCTGAAAAAATTCAGGGACGTAGATCTCGACGTGCTGATTCCAAAAATATAGCCTGTTGATGGTCGCGGTGCGACATTTTCGAAGAAATCGGTACGAAATGCCTAATTTATCGAAATTTCAAAAATTTCGATATTTCAACCGTCGATTCTGGAAAAACGGTTGCATCTATCAAATAATCGAGGCCGGAAGTGAGTTCTACGGCCCGAAATCTACAAGAAAATGTACTCAATTAGGTTTCGAAAATGTCAAAATTTCGACGAAATTTGAAGAAGGGGGGACCATTAGAAAATTTTCACTTTTAAAAAACTCGTCTAAAAATTCTGAAAAAATTCAGGGACGTAGATCTCGACGTGCTGATTCCAAAAATATAGCCTGTTGATGGTCGCGGTGCGACATTTTCGAAGAAATCGGTACGAAATGCCTAATTTATCGAAATTTCAAAAATTTCGATATTTCAACCGTCGATTCTGGAAAAACGGTTGCATCTATCAAATAATCGAGGCCGGAAGTGAGTTCTACGGCCCGAAATCTACAAGAAAATGTACTCAATTAGGTTTCGAAAATGTCAAAATTCCGACGAAATTTGAAGAAGGGGGGACCATTGGAAAATTTTCACTTTTAAAAAACTCGTCTAAAAATTCTGAAAAAATTCAGGGACGTAGATCTCGACGTGGTGATTCCAAAAATATAGCCTGTTGATGGTCGCGGAGCGACATTTTCGGGAAAATCCGTACGAAATACCTAATGTATCGAAATTTCAAAAATTTCGATATTTCAACCGTCGATTCTGGAAAAACGGTTGCAGCTATCAAAGAAACGAGGCCGGAAGTGAGTTCTACGGCTCGAAATCTACAAGAAAATGTACTCAGTTAGGTTTCGAAAATGTTAAAATTTCGACGAAATTTGAAGAAGGGGGGACCATTGGAAAATTTTCACTTTTAAAAAACTCGTCTAAATATTCTGAAAAAATTCAGGGACGTAGATCTCAACGTGCTGATTCCTAAAATATAGCCTGTTGATGGTCGCGGAGCGACATTTGCGAAGAAATCGGTACGAAATGCCTAATTTATCGAAATTTCAAAAATTTCGAAATTTCAACCGTCGATTCTGGAAAAACGGTTGCAGCTATCAAAGAATCGAGGCCGGAAGTGAGTTCTACGGCTCGAAATCTACAAGAAAATGTACTCAGTTAGGTTTCGAAAATGTCAAAATTTCGACGAAATTTGAAGAACGCCATTGGAAAATTTTCACTTTTAAAAAACTCGTCAAAAAATTCTGAAAAAATTCAGGGACGTAGATCTCGACGTGCTGATTCCAAACATATAGCCTGTTGATGGTCGCGGAGCGACATTTTCGAAGAAATCGGTACGAAATGCCTAATTTATCGAAATTTCAAAAATTTCGATATTTCAACCGTCGATTCTGGAAAAACGGTTGCATCTATCAAAGAATCGAGGCCGGAAGTGAGTTCTACGGCTCGAAATCTACAAGAAAATGTTCTCAGTTAGGTTTCGAAAATGTCAAAATTTCGACGAAATTTGAAGAAGGGGGGACCATTGGAAAATTTTAACTTTTAAAAAACTCGTCTAAAAATTCTGAAAAAATTCAGGGACGTAGATCTCGACGTGCTGATTCCAAAAATATAGCCTGTTGATGGTCGCGGAGCGACATTTTCGGGAAAATCCGTACGAAAAACCTAATGTATCGAAATTTTAAAAATTTCGATATTTCAACCGTCGATTCTGGAAAAACGGTTGCAGCTATCAAAGAATCGAGGCCGGAAGTGAGTTCTACGGCTCGAAATCTACAAGAAAATGTACTCAGTTAGGTTTCGAAAATGTTAAAATTTCGACGAAATTTGAAGAAGGGGGGACCATTGGAAAATTTTCACTTTTAAAAAACTCGTCAAAAAATTCTGAAAAAATTCAGGGACGTAGATCTCACCGTGCTGATTCCAAAAATATAGCCTGTTGATGGTCGCGGTGCGACATTTTCGAAGAAATCGGTACGAAATGCCTAATTTATCGAAATTTCAAAAATTTCGATAATTCAACCGTCGATTCTGGAAAAACGGTTGCATCTATCAAATAATCGAGGCCGGAAGTGAGTTCTACGGCCCGAAATCTACAAGAAAATGTACTCAGTTAGGTTTCGAAAATGTCAAAATTCCGACGAAATTTGAAGAAGGGGTGACCATTGGAAAATTTTCACTTTTAAAAAACTCGTCTAAAAATTCTGAAAAAATTCAGGGACGTAGATCTCGACGTGCTGATTCCAAAAATATAGCCTGTTGATGGTCGCGGAGCGACATTTTCGGGAAAATCCGTACGAAATACCTAATGTTTCGAAATTTCAAAAATTTCGATATTTCAACCGTCGATTCTGGAAAAACGGTTGCAGCTATCAAAGAATCGAGGCCGGAAGTGAGTTCTACGGCTCGAAATCTACAAGAAAATGTACTCAGTTAGGTTTCGAAAATGTTAAAATTTCGACGAAATTTGAAGAAGAGAGGACCATTGGAAAATTTTCTCTTTTAAAAAACTCGTCTAAAAATTCTGAAAAAATTCAGGGACGTTGATCTCGACGTGCTGATTCCAAAAATATAGCCTGTTGATGGTCGCGGAGCGACATTTTCGAAGAAATCGGTACGAAATGCCTAATTTATCGAAATTTCAAAAATTTCGATATTTCAACCGTCGATTCTGGAAAAACGGTTGCAGCTATCAAAGAATCGAGGCCGGAAGTGAGTTCTACGGCTCGAAATCTACAAGAAAATGTACTCAGTTAGGTTTCGAAAATGTTAAAATTTCGACGAAATTTGAAGAAGGGGGGACCATTGGAAAATTTTCTCTTTTAAAAAACTCGTCTAAAAATTCTGAAAAAATTCAGGGACGTTGATCTCGACGTGCTGATTCCAAAAATATAGCCTGTTGATGGTCGCGGAGCGACATTTTCGAAGAAATCGGTACGAAATGCCTAATTTATCGAAATTTCAAAAATTTCGATATTTCAACCGTCGATTCTGGAAAAACGGTTGCAGCTATCAAAGAATCGAGGCCGGAAGTGAGTTTTACGCCCCGAAATCTACAAGAAAATGTACTCAGTTAGGTTTCGAAAATGTCAAAATTTCGACTAAATTTGAAGAAGGGGGGACCATTGGAAAATTTTCACTTTTAAAAAACTCGTCTAAAAATTCTGAAAAAATTCAGGGACGTAGATCTCGACGTGCTGATTCCAAAAATATAGCCTGTTGATGGTCGCGGAGCGACATTTTCGGGAAAATCCGTACGAAAAACCTAATGTATCGAAATTTTAAAAATTTCGATATTTCAACCGTCGATTCTGGAAAAACGGTTGCAGCTATCAAAGAATCGAGGCCGGAAGTGAGTTCTACGGCTCGAAATCTACAAGAAAATGTACTCAGTTAGGTTTCGAAAATGTTAAAATTTCGACGAAATTTGAAGAAGGGGGGACCATTGGAAAATTTTCACTTTTAAAAAACTCGTCAAAAAATTCTGAAAAAATTCAGGGACGTAGATCTCACCGTGCTGATTCCAAAAATATAGCCTGTTGATGGTCGCGGTGCGACATTTTCGAAGAAATCGGTACGAAATGCCTAATTTATCGAAATTTCAAAAATTTCGATAATTCAACCGTCGATTCTGGAAAAACGGTTGCATCTATCAAATAATCGAGGCCGGAAGTGAGTTCTACGGCCCGAAATCTACAAGAAAATGTACTCAGTTAGGTTTCGAAAATGTCAAAATTCCGACGAAATTTGAAGAAGGGGTGACCATTGGAAAATTTTCACTTTTAAAAAACTCGTCTAAAAATTCTGAAAAAATTCAGGGACGTAGATCTCGACGTGCTGATTCCAAAAATATAGCCTGTTGATGGTCGCGGAGCGACATT